CCCCCCCCCCCCGCCACAGAAACACAATAAAATCTGGGGATTCCATTCCATTCCAGTGAGCTGCTTTCAATAGCTCCAGCAACAGATCTGTTTTATTCTGGGATGGGAGTCAAAAATGTACATAAAGAGCTTTGTATAGTGGAGAGAGAGAGAGATAAAAACATTGCATAGTATCACAGATACCAAAGAAACAAACTTAACAGCTGGTTGCAACATGGCCAGATGTCACTCGTCAGCAAGTCATAAAACTCTACATCCGCTTCTCCAACATTATGACATGTAAAAAGATTGCCTCTAATTCCCTACTCCAGGCAAGCGAAAATAGAGTTGTGGAAAAAATAACGCACTCCTGCCAATCCTATCCTAGCTGCCGGCTGAAACATCACCATTCGTGCTGGATTTGTCCCACCAAGTCTTGAAGAAGAGTCACATCCTCCTGTTACTAGACGCGAGTCTATATAACCACCAGCAAAAGCTCAGTTTCCAGGACACGGAGCCACATCAGGGGAGGGCAAGTAATCCGTGGGCTTGCACACACCTGTCCTAAACACGCACTCCTGCTGAGGAGTGGCAAGATCTGGACTAATAAAGGAGGGTATTCGTAACTCAGGGTTAAATGAGGGGTCCTTGGTACTCTCTGTGCTTGCTTGTTTTCTTGTAGACGTTTCATTACCTAACTAGGTAACATCATCAGTAGTCTAGAAGGGAGTGGGCTTTGCGGAGTGGAAGAGAAAGGAGGAGGAGGGAGAATGTGGGGTCCTTGGTGCTCTCTGAACTTGCTTGTTTTCTTGTAGACATTTCATTACCTAACTAGGTAATAACATCAATGCTAGAAGGGAGTGGGCTTTGCGGAGGAGAAGGGAGGAGGGGGAGGAAAGGGACTGTGGGGTGTCGGTGCTCTCTCAGCTTGGTGGTTTTCCTACAGATGTTTTACTACCCAACTAGGGGACATCATCAGTGCTAGAAGGGAATGGGGTTTGTGGAGAAAGGAGGAGGAGGAATGTGGGGTCCTTGGTGCTCTCTGAGCTTGTTTTCTTCTAGACGTTTCATTACCTAACTAGATAGTAACATCAATGCTAAAAGGGAGTGGGCTTTGTGGAGTGGAAGAGAGAGAGGAGGAGGAGGAGGAGGAGGAGGAGGAGGAGG